ATAGACGTCTTCGAGCTGTGAGGCAGCCTTAAAGAACAAAACACAGGGCTTGGGTGTTAGAGGGAGATTTCAATATTTCAAGGCGAGGAACTTCAACTTTCTTGGGAAGGGGAGCCCAACCAATGGCTCCTATAACTATTGCTACTAGTAACCATTGAGGGCGTGCCTTGGGAAATCAACGGTACATGTTCTTCATAGCGTTGGTGCTGTCAACACTGTGCGAGCTTGTCCCTGCGCTCCCCTACACCAGACGGCCTGCAAACCAGATACGCCATGTTGTGACAGTCGCAGCTGCCACAGCCTGGCAGAAAGGGTATGCGCATGGCGAAACCCCGGCGAAAGCCCCAAAAAAACCCTCTCAAAGCCTAGCGCGCCTGGTATTCGAGGAGGCGCGGCGATAGACTCCCAGCGTGTGCGTCTCGGTCCGCAGGACCCGGTTCATGTCCAGCGCGTAGGCGGCGGCCCTGAGAGGAGCTCTGCATGCGAACGCCTACAAAACACAACTCCAATACGACAAGCTTGTACCTTGCTAGTGCACCGTGAGAAGTCACTTCGGCTCTCTTCGGCTCTCTTTGTCGCTCCTGCGCTCAATTGCCGCAGACGTCGACAGCCGCTTGGAGGTTGCGACCCGCATCGTCGCGTGCAGCCGCGAAATCTCACAGCGGATTCCGTTCAATTTGCACTCTACAGACTGGACAGGGAACAGATTTACGCATAGCTGCCCCACTGTTGTATTCCCTCCTACATACTGGAGGGACAATGTGTTTCCACAAGCGCATGTACCATCAGAAAGCCGATGTTGAATGCTTAAATGCTGCCCCTTCCCCCCGATTTGAATCCAAATGTCTCTCTCAAAGTACGGGTCCCCACTCTCCACAAATAGAGGAACTCTCGCACTTTACGGACCCTCAATGCTGGCATTGTTTGTTACCTAACTACCCGCACCAGAGATATCTCTTTCCTTCACTATGCTTGCTTACATCTAATTCAAGTCTAAAGCAATTTTGGGCTGCTAGTACTAGACTACCTACCTTAACCAAAAAACTTAACAGAACCAAAAGAAGCTAAGGCCCATGTAGTTTCTTCCTGCACTTCTTCGGACCTCCTTCGAGGCAGCATGCATGGCCGACGTCAGGTTCGATGAGCTCTTCAGGGCATCCTGCGGCTTGTGCCACAAAGCCCAAGCTATGTGTTTATGTACACATATATATGTGGCAAGAACCTTTAGGTTCTATTTGGCCAGGTGTTTTTTGAAGCCAAACCAAGGTATCTAAACCTAAACGCAACTATCAGATGTTTAGGGGTTTGCGGTGGGGATTGGAATTTCGGGCTCATGAAACAGGGGTTGGCCAGGGTTTGAAGTTTAGGATTCCAAGCTTAGGGATTGCGACTTTGGGGGCAAGACAGCTCCCGCCAACAAACCTAGGGACCGATCATTCAGGCCATCAACTGTTTCAACTTGTTAAACTGCACGACATGGTTAGTTAATTTGCCTCTTCCTGTCCTCTCCATCTCCGACTGTTCAGTCCTTCGGCTCTATCTCTGTCTTTACTTGTTTCCCTATCGTCTGCATGAGTTACTCTTCCCTCCCTTTCACTGTCATATGGTTAGTTGTTCTGCGTCTTCCTGTTCTCTCCATCTCCGCCATTTCACATTTTCCGTACTCTCTGTTTACTTGTTTCTCTATTCTCTGCCTGAAATACTCTTCCCTCCATTCCTTGTCATATGGCTAGTTGTTCTGCCTCTTCCTGTTTTCTCCATCTCCGACATTTCACTCCTTCCGCACTCTCGGGGGGAGGGGTGGCACGGTAGTCTGGGCGGAGTGGGGGGGAGAGTGCTGAGAGCGGGAGAGTGAGAGAGAGAGAGAGAGCGAGAGAGCGAGAGAGAGAGAGAGAAAGAAATGAGCTGTGATCTAAATTCTTTCATCCCGAATTAACCGTCTTCGCGAAAAACAAATTTACTTTCGCAAAACTTCCGCGGACCCATCGCGGTGCAGGTTACGCAAAAACTTACGCGAAAAAAAAACACTTTCGCAATCCCAACGCGGATCTTTCGCGGAGGCATATGTTATGCCATGTGGTCACTCCCTACTAAATGCCACACAAGGACCTTTAGATCAACGATCAAATAGACAAAGAGAAAGAGAGAGAGACAGAGAAAGAGACAGAGAGAGAGAGAGAGAAGAGAGAGAGAAGAGAGAGAGGGAGCGAGAGAGAAAGGGAGAGAGAGAGAGAGAGCAAGAAAGAACGCAAAACAAGAGCGCGCGAAAATTGATTTCTGCAATTTCAGCGGGGTGGAATTAATGCAAGGAATTAATTTCTGCATTTCGTCGGGGGGGAATGAATGCAAGGCAACTGTTCCTCTTCCAGAGTCCTTGGTTTTGAAGCTCCTGGATTCGCCCAACGTTAAACGTTCCGATTTCAGGCCGCTCCTGAAGCTTCGCCGTTGACAGAGCCCGGCGCATCGCTGTGAGCGCCACCGGCTGCAAATCCGACTGGGCGATTGCCAAAGGGAGCCAAAGGGAAGGGAAACTGGGGGGGGTGGGGGGGGAGGCGAGCTTAGAAGGTGATCGTGTCCTTATCGTCCTAAGAGTGATGTGCCGCTAATAAGATGAGTCCTAACTCCTAACGTGTTGCACGCATATCAGATATGCATAAACCACAAAGTGAGCGAATACATTCCATAAGATCACGACGGCCACAGCCTCATAGCATTTCAAAAAGCAGTCACAGCATGATTGCTATCATCTTCATGGCAACATTCCATTGCGTTTCCGATCGCTGCTCTTTTCAGTGTCATTCTTACTTGTGCACATAATGCCCGGTTCTCGAAGCGCTACCGCTACTATGCTCCGGCAAGGCCTGACACCTCCAATGGGAAAGCATAGAGACTTGCAGAGACTTGCATCCCCTTGTAAGAGTTTCGAGGCCCTCTGAGGGCCGCACCCGCAAGATGGACTTCATGCCTTGCAGATCCCTGGCCATACCTGCACGGATCTCCTGCGTCTGCTGAAGGAGGCCTGACGTTCCCGATCCCGTGTCCGAGAAGTAGAACTCGAAAAGAGCACGCCTGCGTGAGAAGCGGTACAGTCAAAGACACAGCTGCTCTATGGCCACTTCTACGCGTGCCCCGAATCGAGCCACGGAGCATTTCCTGCTGGATTGTCTTGACGCCCGTCTCCAAACTTGATAGGATGGCTGCATCTCCCTTCTGCACAGCGTCGCGGATACAGTGCAAGTCGCAGAACATGCGGGCCAATCCGTGCCTACGCTCGGATCAGGATCTCTCAGGGCTCAAGGGCGCCAAGGGGCAGATGGTGGCACTAGCACTCCAAATGCCGGCTTTACTGCTTTAACTTATTTCATTTTCTTGAGGGTCAGTTTGGGGCGCTACTTGGCTCGGGCTCCAAATGCGATCCGGTTGCGGTAGTGCGCCGCAGTCGTTGTCGTTGGCATTCTCTTTTGTCAAGGACTTCGACGCTAGCCACTGGTCATTCGCGAAGTTGGCGAGAGAACTTAGAGTCAGTCACGCGAGCCCGGGACTATATGTCACCACTGTTATCTTGGAGGTTAGAGTCTTAAGGTGTGGGACCACTGCACATGAACGAGGGAGTATAAATCGCATAAGGTTCTGGAGGATGCTGTTGAGGACAGCTTACACGGTTACACCACTTCTTATGCCGGCGCTATTGTACCCCAAACAGTGTAGGACACTGCAGGACCATCGAAGCCCGCCACGAACGACATAGTGGACAGCGATAGGTTGTGCGATAGGGCAAATATATCAGGGCAACACGCCAGCGGCTAGTTTTCCAGGCGGAAACAAAGCACACGGAAGGGGCCTTGTCGCCTTCCAGGCCCGGCGCTGAGGACACGTCAACAATACGGATATGAAGGAGACAAGCAAACAAAAGAAGCAGAAGAAGCAGAAGCTAGAACTGAGTGAACAAAGAAAGGATGCAGATGACAGCAATCAAAAAACCATGCAAACGACCATGGCATACCATGGTACTAGTCTGACAAGTCTGACAAACCCTAAACTTTTTAAACACCAAACCAGAAAGCCCCGGCGTGCTGCCTTGGGCCCGGTTGCAGTCGAGCGTCGCCCCGACCTGGCTACGTGACTCTGCGGGATTGGGGTATTTGGGCTGAGGGATCTAAGGCTCTCTTGGGGTTGAAAGTTCAGAGATGAGGGGCTCTGAGGGGCTCTAGGATTTTAGGATTTCTTATGATTTCTGGGTTTTAGGATGTTTTAGGGCTTTTGTTGGTCGTGCTCCAGACCCACGTCTGAACCACAGCCCCCAGGTACAGACCATAGTAAGAACACCCCTCTACTGTTGCTGTAAGGCCTACATAGACTTCCTATTTCCGCTATTTCCTGATATGCCAGGTTTGAATCAGCCTTCATCCCCAAAAGCTGTCTATTATCTAGAACAACGCCCTAAGACTCAGAAACCCAGCCTTGTAGCCCCAAGCCCTTAGACCCCCGGGAAACTACGAAGGCCACGGAAGCAAGGATTGCGGAGAATCTTGGCCCCCGCGCATAGCCAGGAATCCCGAGTATCTTCCCGGCTTTGACCACCAAGCCGGCGCCGAAAAAGCTGACCTTGTCTCAATTAAAGAGACCCACCCTAAACCCTAAACCCTACAAAAACCCTTGACCGCGGGTCTGAGGTAAGCTCCTGGCGGCATGGACCTACACCCCTGAATGCCTAAACCATCCCAAACCCTGAAATCCATTGGATCCTATAGAAGGCTTGAAGCCGAGTTGAAGCCGAGTTGAGCACGGTCACCTGTGGTTCTGGAGTCGCTTCCAGCCATGGACTCGTCTGGTCTGTCACGAGGGAGGTGACCGCTGCTATCCTCCAGATTTGGATTTGCGGTTTGAATCTTTATCAAAAGAGGAGAGACATACCTACGATCCACAAAATAGGGACATGGAGTCCTTGGCCGTCAGAGTTTTTGGGGTCTCTCCTATTCTCCGAACTCCCGGCGCGAGCATTATACAGCAACCATCCCACTGGCAGAATGCTCCGCGTACTGCATCCTTGGGGCTTGAGGATTTTCATCTTGTGCATCTCCAGAAACATTCTGAGGCTTCTACGTTGCAGTAAGCGAACCATGCGGAGAATTATGATCACGAGTCCATTCATGCTGGAAAACCCGCCTGTCGTGCGTGGACTGCCATCCTGCCATGACCAAATCACGATCACCTTCGCGATCGTCGCATCCAATGGTGTTCTTGTAGGTAATGCCGCTTTCTCCAGGCTGATCCACGTCCCCCAGGTTCGACTCATACCAGGAGTTGCCCTCTCCCTCCTGCAGCTCACGGAGCAAGAAACAGTGCCAATACTTGTTTTTATCAGCTATGTTGCTGTTGAGGCTTTACATTTAGAGTTTAGGCCTGTCAGCATTTAGTACCGTGTCGCTCGTAGTTGCAGTCGGAGGGTCCTTTGGAGAACTTACTTGTTTACCTCATCAAAGCTGCTGGGTCCAAGATGTCCAAGATTGTAAAAGGGCTCAATTCTAGTCGCTGATGAAACCATGTTCAGCAGCCCCAAGAAAAGCATCAATAACGGAAGTGCGGTAGCATGCGGTAGCCTATCCAAACACTAAACACTCATAGCCCGTCCCAGTCCTGCTCTATGTTGTTCTCTTGGGGGATGAATTCCGACACGACGGGCAACCCAGTCCAATCGCTCTCCTTCTTCGTCTTTGGCGTGCCTGGGAGGCTCTGCGGACCCTTACTAAGGAATGCTGTCTAGTACATCAGAATACATCAAACTTTTATAAACAAAAGAAACTGCGTCCACCCAGGTCCCAGGTGCTAAAGATACTTGCGCAGGGGTTTTCAGGGTTGGATGTCGTGAGCTCCTCTGCTACCTGGCAAGGTGTCCTATAGGGTCCGCTGTTTGGGGGTCCTCCTTTTTAGAAGAGGTCTTCTGTTGATCCAGTTCTACTTCAAGACTCTGGGTTTCAAGAGCTTCCCACCTGGTTCATCGTTTCTTGAGAAAACGTGGCAGCGCCAGGATGGCTCTCGTCTTTGCACTCGGGCGCGTACTCCGGATCCTGCGACCAAACTCACACCGCGAGTCTGTGCACCCAGCTCTTGTGTCCAGCAACAGGATGCAAAAGGTCGTGAGTGCACGTAAAGCCAAGCGGAATGTGCAACGAGCACACAAATATTGTGTCAGCTAAACTAGTATGAGGTAGAGGGAGGTAGAGGTAGCAATCGTCGTCATCATACCAGGAAGTACTCGTTAACCGTTCTCGTCGTTAGTACTAGTTGGAACTAGTAGTTAGTAGTTAGTATTAGGGTTTAGGGTTTAGGGAGTGATGGTGGTAGTGGTCTTGGTCGTCGTGGTCGTGGTGGTCGCGGTGGTCCTGGTCGGCCGTTGCACTTGCGCCATCGCCGTCGCCGTCGCTAGTAGTACTTGTAGTGGTAGTGGCTAGCGGGAGTGGTAATGGTACAGTCGTAGTCGTAGTCGTAGTAGTCGTAGTAGTCGTCGTCGTAGTCGTAGTAGTAGTAGTAGTAGTAGTAGTAGTAGTAGTAGTAGTAGTAGTAGTAGTCGTCGTCGTCGTCGTCGTCGTCGTAGTAGTAGTCTAGTAGTAGTAGTAGTAGTAGTAGTAGTAGTAGTAGTAGTAGTAGTAGTAGTAGTAGTAGTAGTAGTAGTAGTAGTAGTAGTAGTAGTAGTAGTAGTAGTAGTAGTAGTAGTAGTAGTAGTAGTAGTAGTAGTAGTAGTAGTAGTAGTAGTAGCAGTAACAATCATGAAAAAAATAAGTATCATAACAATAATTGTAGTAATAGTCGTCGTAGTAGTAGTAGACAAAGGTCCAGTAGACCCCGGGGGAAAAAGCCCTTGCGGCGGCGCAAACACAACACAATGCTTAGCTTGGACGTCTCACTCTTTTTCACTTCTCCGGGCGAACTGTAGCAGTTCGGTCGCTCACGCTTAGAGCAGACAAACAACAGCTAACAACCAACGCGCAGCTGCGAAGTGCTCAGCTAGCTATGGCTTGCATGGCTTCTGCTACCTAAAGTTTGGCGTAACTAAAGCTAGAGTTCTCGCCTGAGATCTCTTCCACCTGACTTGAGAGATGTCCACAGCTGCATGTCCCCAAACCCAGAACCTGCAACCCGAAACCCTAAGCCTGAAAACCTAAGCCGTAAACCCCAAACGCCCAAACCTGAAACCCCAAACACCCTAAAACAAACAGGATCCCCCACCTCCGACTCGAATTTCAATTGTGGCGGGGCCTTCTTCGCTGTGTACCTGGAACGTAAAGACCCGAGAGGGTTACGGAAGTGTTCAGGGCTTACCCTACACCCTAACCCTTTTTAGTGCCCTAAAGTTTACCTAAAGCCTCCAACTCCATAGAATAATCTCAAATTTTCTCATTGGCCTTTTTTGGATTCACCGGCGCTCCCGGTAGTATGTCAAGGTCCACGTTGCCTAATTGGGACTCTAACATCTCAAGAGACATTCCGCGTTCTGAGTCCAGGTGCCTGTTGGGAAGGCGTGCTCCTCCTCCACCCACTGAGCTTGCGTCGAAGCTGTCTACCGGGACGACCTGACGGGAGATTTGCTGTTGATTGTTGTGATTGTTGTGTCCCTTTGAAGTTTCGGATTTGGGGGAACTTTGACCTTGGGGCTCAGGGCTTAGGGCCGTGCGCGCTTCATTTGACCAAAGAGATGACGACCTGCCTGCCAGATGCTTCCGCCGAGCTGTTCATCCAGGGGGTGGACCAAGTTGCTGGAGACGCAACTCAATGATGTGAAGAATCTCCTGTAACAACTGCAACCCCCTTATCCCAAATCCTGCTGAAGCCGCCCAAACACCTAATCCCTAGACCCTTTACTCCCTAAACCTGGAACCCCAACCCCGTAAACCCTCTAATCCCCAACCCCCGCCCCTAAACCCTATGTTCTGAGCATGACCGCTGTGCAAGGATGACGGCACTGAGAAGATTAGCATGCCCCCTGCCTGCCCAGGTACCTTCACAAATCGAGAAGTGTACCAAGTGCATCCGGTATGGCATGGCTCAAGGGCACTCAAGGGTTAGAAGTGTTTGGTTAGTTTGAGTGTTGAGGGTTCTAGTCGCTGTAGCTCCTCATTCTTTTTGGGGTCACCCTAGCCCATCCAGGCCCATCCCCTAGGTTTTTCAGGGAGGTTGTGTGATTGCAGGGAGTGGTGATCTTCGAGCTGGGTTTGTGTACAGGTCCGCACTCCGCTCCCCTAAATCCTAAATCCATCCAAATCCCTAAACCCGGAGCCCCGAAAATCTCCTAGCGCACCACTCACCGTCGGCAGCATCATGCTCGAACCAGTAGTACCAAGACGCCGAAGAGCAGATCTGAAAGGCGGGTCCATCAGGTGAAGGGTCTTTAGGGTCATCAGGGCCTTGATGGTTTAGGGCAATTAACAATGATAGTCTTGAAGGGTGGCTTTGGGCTCCCAAAAAAAGGTGGTGGAGGTGAGGTAACCCTTGTACCCGCCTTACAGAATTGCAGTTTCATGTTGAATTCCGGTCCTTGGATCTCAGCCAAGGGTATCAATGAGGGGAGCGCCCCAAGAGTATGAACAAAAACGTACACTCGAAAACAAAGTTTAGTATAGTTCTGGGTCTTGGCACTCTCAACCCTGTATTCTGCCAGTTCCCTTTAAGAGCAGTTATCTGGTTTAGCTTTTAGGGCTTAGGATGGTCTAGTGAGTCTAGTGGTTTCGAGCATTGTCGGGTCTTGGGATTCAAGGGGCGGCCAGAGACATCCATTGCAACCGGAGCGTAGATGCCCTGCTCTGCCGTGAGCGGATCCTGATCTTCCCAGTCTTCACCCCTTGAAAAGAGTACCGGGTTGGATCCGATTTGACAGCAGCGGGTTCGGAAGCGAACCCACTTCCCAGCGGCATCGAACTCTCCGACAATCGCCTGAATGCCACGCTCACTGCCGCAGTCCATGTCAATCCGCGCAGCGGTATTGCCAATGATCTCTTGATTTGAGAATTGTTCATCACAAGCACCGAGGGTCGCCATCCGAACACAGACGTACCGAATCTCAACTTGAAGCTTGTTGAACCTCTGCATCACGAAGCCAACGCCGCAATCCAGTTCGAAATCCGTGCCGGCCAGCGTCGTAGACATGGTCCACACGTACTCGGCCCCCAAATTTGCCGGCTTCTCAGCAAACAGATACTGCAGATTGGACTCGGTTTTGGCCGTGATGTCTCCCCCGCCACTGATTGAGTAAAAAGTCTGGAAGGACGCTGCGCCTTGGTTGGTTAGCTCCTTGGTCCCGAGGCGGCCCGCATTGTTGCCCGCGTTGGGCAGACGGAAAGAGACCGTATTGTAGTTCACGGGCGCAACCTTTGCAAACTCCACATTCTTCCCGCCCCACAAGAGCTCATACATTAGCAAACCTCGTTCCGAAGAGGCCGCCCCCTGAACGAAGGACTGATCTGGACCTCCATCGCAGGCCTCACAACCACTCCAAGGTGGAAGGGCACGGGGCAAAAGAACAGCAACAAATGCATGATCCCAGCATCGGACTAGCAATACACCCTAGATTGATTTAACCCCCCTCCCCCCACCCAAGACTTCGATTGCGACAGCCGGCCAAAACAACGGTTTAAAGGACAACACATTGGTGGCTTCAGGGGCTTTTAAGCTGCTTGAAGGCCTGGAGGGGCCTTTTTGGGGTTTAAAGGCCTTTAAGAGCATTCGGGATTCTATTGGTGGCCTTGATCTGATACGATGAGACCTGTTGGTATAGTGATCTACTTGCTTTTTAATTGCCAAGAGCATTGATGGCAAACAAAAAATGCAACATTTCCTCTAGCAGTCTAGCAAGTCGTGACAACTGTCCTTGCTTCATGTTGCCGGCAGGCAAATTGCACGGAACAAGTAGGCGAATTGCATGATTGTCAGCCCCCTACTTCGTATATTAAGAATTTTTCAGCCGCACAGAACCCAAATCCGTGCTAGGACGCAGCATTCCCGGAAGCTCGACCAGCGGCCTGGAGGCCGTTCTGGATGCAAGGAACTGCAGGATCAACGCCGGAACCACAAGAGCCTATGACCAAGCACTTCTGGTATTGCGAGTTCCTCGGGCAAATTCGAATCTACATGTGCTGGACATTGAAAATAAGCCGTGATAAGCCTTCTTCAGCAAAGCCGCTTGATCTGGAAGCTCAGAGCCACCGGCGGGAATTCTTTTTTGAAGCTTGGATCCACAGCTCCGACCGCACAGTTTCCGACAATTGTGCCCTGGCTGAATTCGATCTTGCTCAGGACGAGACCAGCGGACCTAGGTCCCCCACTGGCCCCACTGGCCCAGTAAGCGTGGTTCCCGAATACTCACTTATGAGGCTTCCACTGTCCACCTGCTGTTTCTTAGGCGTGGCTTCAGTTTGGCACATGTTGGCCCACATTGCGCCCAGCCTCCCCAAGTCCCAAGTAGGACGTTTTGCAGGGAGAAGTTGGGGAAAGGTCGAAGATGCTCCTAAGCCTACAATTCGGAAGTTACACCCAACAGCCTTTATGTTGTTGCCTATGTTCAAAGCCAAACCAGCAAAAAAAGGAATACACGTGTTTTTAGTGGAGATCACAGATTCTTATCGGTGCAGTCGATGTCCCCCTCGAGGTCCAAGAGCTCATCTGGGTTTAGAGTTTGATGATTTGGTGTTTCGGTGTTGGCGTTGTCCTTCTAGCAGCAGCTCGTTTCCCTTCAATAAGTTTCCGAGTACTCCGAATCCCTTCCAGTCTCCGACCCAGTTTATTGCGCTCCAAACGGCGAGGTTGCAAAACCTAGAAAGGATGCAAAAGTGCAGCATGCGTCATTGGAGGCTCAAGGTATTTATAGACATGTCGACTTCCCTGGTCAAGTGCCCTGATGGGTCGAGGCTTCCTGCAGAAGTCAAGGCCTCTGCTTAGAGAGTCCTGCTGAGCAACTGTATCGAGGGGTTGAAACTCGGGATAGAAATAAAGATCTAATTGGCTTCATGGAACATTCAATGCCCTTCAAAGCACAAACTCTCATTGCACAGCTGACGTGTGAACCTTACACTAGCTGCATCGCCTTGACCCGTTAATGCAACCCCATGAAAGCCCCTATAAGACCAAAATGCCTACTTTAGTCGTCTCATGTCGTCTCACATGCATTGCACACACAGGAAGCACGCCACAGCCGGCCTGCCCCCGAGGTCTTCTTCACCTCCAGGCTCGTGGGATCGGAAAATTCTCGGGCTCCTGTGCCCCTTAGGAATTCGGCTACGGCATCATTAAAATGATGTTGGCAACCCCCTGAAGCCCAAGAACGAGGTTCTTTTTGTAGGCATCTGATGGTCATACCAAACTGTGCCCAACAATGCTATGAGTTCTATTGAAATCTGAGTGGAAGCCGGGACTGATCAGGTGTAACTACATTCAGCACTGTTTCATCCTCGCAGTTGTTGGCATCCTACGGAGCCTGAGATTCTTGAGCAAACGCATGAGACAAACAAGGCTTGACTAGGTTTTCTTCGGTTTGGCAGTCGGTACCTCCCAGTCGGCAGTACATGTTGATGCAGAGCAACCCAGTCAGTGTGTGCAGTCGGAACGCTTAAGTCTGGCATACCTGTCGAAATTGGCCCTGGCGCCAAGACTAGCAAAGGCCCCTGTGCCAGGATCAGCGTTCGGGCAAATGATAGGTTTGTCACAAAGTCAGCATATTCAAAGGCACTCCCTGCTGGCCGGAATATTGGAGAGTGAGAGCAGTTGTGACTGTTGAGTCGCAGGTCATTTCTCTCATTTGTCACTGCTGTGCATTCAGACATGTGCAGTCCAACATGTCACTGATGGACATTCACACACTTTGCATCAGCTACGACCGAGGGTGTTCCGGGATGGGCATTCCCCTTGAGTGCTTACCAACGGCAGACTTGCCGAAAACCTCCGGGGGACCGCTGTACCAAAACAAACAGCCACTATTGATGTGATGTCTTCTTGTTTGCGATGCATGCGCTTTGTCGGCATGAAGTCTGTTGGCTGTGATGTTCCCCCTTCAGGCCGATGTTCACAGGTTGCAAGGCGAACCCCCGATCTCACCTCACCTACCTCCCCCCTTGGGAGTGCAATTGCCAGTGAGGTTCTTGCATTGCCTTGCTCTGGTGGATAGCAACCTGCACCTTACTGTTCGCTGGAGGCTCGAGCCAACGCTCCGCCTACGGACTAAGATACATGCTAATGCTAAGGCATGTAGAGCACAGAGAGCGCACTCACATGCACTCAATCTTTTTCGTGCGGTATGCGAGTCAGGCAAAGGCAGGTCAAGAGGGAAGGCAAGGACGCAAGAGTGGCTCTGCGGCGAATCTCCTTCTTGTATTGCAGTGTGCGCAAGGCGCCGTCGTTGGAGCAGGCGATCGCGTCCCAGCAGGCCAGAGCAGGAAGGCTAGAGAGTGTAGCAGGCATGTGTGTGCGGCATCCCGTGGGTTCTGCCAAGAAGTAGGAAAGTCCCCCCCTCCCATGGAGGCACTGCCTGTGCCAGCGAGATTGTAGCGGCAATGTCCGCCATCTCTGTGAAGAAAGATGGCCGGGGCTGAGTCCGACTGCGAAGGAGGAGGCTGAGGCGCCAAGAGCCCCAGGCCTTTGTCGCGTGCTTCCCGAGCGAAGGCCGAAAGGCCAGCCTAACCGAAGGCGTAAAGGCCGGGGCCGGGGCTTCCTGGATTCTCCGCTGCTTGGCGGCGCGGTACTCCTCCGACATCCAGACCAGATGGGGGGCTTGTCTCCTTCACGAATTTGCAATCAGCCATCTTACAGCTCTTGTTTTGAGATCGTCAGCATATGGGCTTGCCCTGGCGCGAGGCCACCCAGTCTGCAGGAAAGTTCAAGATGGCCCCTTTGCGTTTGCCCTCTCCCTTTTTGGGCTTGGGCGTCTTCTTGGGGTTGGCAGTTGGCGCAGGCGGAGGCGAGGGCTGCTCTGAGTCAGGCGTCTTGCGCTTCTGTGGGTTCGGAGTACTCTCGGGACCGCCTGGCTTGCGAGGCTGAGCGGCTGAGGCGGGTTCGGAGGCACTCTGGGTCTGAGCTGCAGGAGGCTATCAGATCGCCTTGCGTCACCGTAACTTTGCGCAAAGCATCATCGAGGGGCGCACCAGCTCGGCTATGCCCGCCCACATGCGTTTGTCTGCGGCCAGCAATTCCGCTGTGTTAGGCGTTCGCTAGCCAAGGGCAGGCAGGCTCCGTCTGGGCGGAGCAGAAGTCACGGACCTTCTTGTCCAAGGCCTTGAGGTTCTGTAGATGGGCCGCTCCACAAAGGCCAAGGCATTTCTGAAGACTGTCACGCGCACATGCTCGACAGGCATCTCCGCCTCAGTCCCAAGGGGCTTGGAACTCTTCTTGGCTTCCATAGAGTCTTGATACTATCAACCAAAAAAAAAGTACCGCCAAGGGATCCACTTGATCTGCTGCGCGGGTCGAAGGCTGTGGTGGACGAGTGAGCCGTTCGCCTGGATAGTTGGCCTTGAAGGTCTCTTGCATCGTGGCCACCGTCTCTGGATTCACCCGCGGAGGCGGGTGTTCAGCCCAATTCCCGGGCTGGGCCAAGGTCGCGGCCACCGAGGCAGAACCCTGGAGGCAGCCTTGCCTATATAGGCCATGCGCCGAGTCCACGCAACGTCGAAGCCGGGCCATCTCCACTGACTGAGCAACATCGGCCCCGCCGGAAGCCAGGGCCTGTTTGGCCTCCTCCGCCAGGCGTTCCAGGATGAGTCCAAATCTCCAACCGTATGGAAGGCCCAGGCCAGATCGGAGATGCATTGCAGTCCCTGCTTTTTGATGTAATCTCTGAAGGCCCGGTGCACCTCAGGAATGAGCCGGATGTAGTCCCCTCACCTTCGGCAAGTTGGCAAACCTCCAACGCCTCCGTCTTACTGCAGCTGGCTGCGCAAACGCCGCGGCCAAACTGAGGAGCAACATCGGCAGCCAAGAGAGCCTCTAGGGGTTGCAGGTCGAGAGAGTAAGCAGAAGCACACCCAGCAGCGCGTCCAAAACAGCATCAGGAACCTGCCTTGCTTCAGAACGGGCTCCTTCCGAACAAAGGCATAGACGGCGCCGAAGATGCTGAAGAACTCACGCTTGAGCAGGGCGAGCCACTCCCACACCCAAAGCAAAGCATGTAGTCCGCGAGGTGACGCCAACCTGCAAAGCAGAAGTCTTGCGTTCAGCACACAGCCGCACCAAGCTTTCCAGCGTTTGGGCTGGCCAGAGGAGGGTCGTTGGAGAGGTCGCACCCCAAAGCCGTCAGCTGGCCCGCAAGCATCACGTCCTTGGTAGCATTTCACGGGACACCACTGTCAGTGAAGGCAGCATCCAACTCCTTAAGTGCAACTGCGCCACGCGCCCGCTGCTTGCGGACGAGGAATGTGTTGCAACGAAGCAAACCTCATCATGACATGAACACACATCATATATAGTCAGGATACTGGGCAGCCTGCTCATTGATGCCGGCCAGACGGCAGAGAGACAGCATGGTGTCCTGCGCCACTGTGGACGACCAAGAAAACCCCATGGGCCACACCGTGTTCACGGGGTACTGCATGTTTCTGTCGCTAAGCAGTGCCGGATCAACGCCATCGCAAGCCATGGTGAGCTCATCGTCGCGAAGTCCAGCTTGTTTCAGCTCTCCAACAGTCACGGCGGCTGTCCCAACCAGTCTCGAAGAGAAGGAGGAGCAAGAAGGACGTCAAAGAAGGTGGATGCATCGCGCTTTGAAAACAATACTTCATCGCCTGGCTCAAGCTCCAAGTCCAGAAACGACAAAGGGTTGGCCAGACGCTTCGGCTTGGGCGGCTGGTTTTTCCAACTTAGAAAGCTCTACTCCATTCCAAATCTTCCGTTGGTGTCCGTATGCTTACCGACGGCAAAAGTGCCCCCCCCCCCCCTCCCGCCTTTGACAGTAGTTCGCAGTTGCACTTTGTTTGCCGCAACCAATCTCCCGCAGGACGAGGCACAAGTACTCTGCTCGGTGTTCGGCAGCTACCGTCTCGGTTGGTTAAATAGCAGGCAGAGGTCTGAAAAAACACCTCCGCTGAGCGGATCACAAATCCCAGCTTGAAGTGGCAAATCCACTGCGTCGGCTCTGATGTCTTCGTAGCTGGGCGCTTGCGCAGACGAGGCAGTTATGTTTCTGGTTCCACAAGCAAACTCTGTCTTCATGCCAGCGCTGAGACAACTCAAGGCACCCAAACACAAGTTGGCAACATCCACATCAATTGTCTCTTGAAGATCATGAAGTGCAACTTCAGCTGGCCGTTTGCTTGCCCGACACTGCGATGAGGGCGGATAACTCTCGAGCTCGGTATAGGAATGCTCTCCTGCGATTTTTCTGTCGGTTACGGCCCGCTGCTGCTGTCTGTAGTGCAACTGCGGTAGCTTGTTGCTCAGGGCTTGCTGTGTCTGTCAAAGGACTATAGTGGTCAGGCAATGCAAACACATGACGTTGGGCCCTCGGGGTTTTATATGATTCATCCTCGTCGTCCATCGTCCGACAGGCCTATCTGTCTCAGACTCCCAAGAACTCCAAACAACCGAACCAAGTGGGGAGGGGCTCACTCAAACCCATGACGGGAGGGCCCACAGGTGCCCTGAAAGAACTGCAGGGTATGGGGCTAAACAGAAACGAGCACGACAACCAGGAGGGGATTAGGGTTAACCCACTGTCCCAGCACTCCACGGCGTGCACAGTCAGCGAGACTGTACTTCTCAGTTTCTGTTCCCTGCTTAACCTGGTCAAATGCCGAGGTTGACCCCCAAGTGCAGAGTCGGCGTGACCTGGAAAAAGAAGCCGAAGTCCAACCTCGAGCTCCCTAAACCCACACCTAAAACCCCGGGCGTTTCCCTTTTCACTCGCTTGAGTTTAACTTGAGCCAAATAAAACACGAATCCGCACTGAGACACGTTGCATGTCGAAGTGGCTTCAAACTGTCACGCAACATCTTCGTGTCTGGTGTTTTAAACTCACTGCCGAGGTCCTAAGATGAATAACCGCAGGGTTTTCATCATGAGCAAACGAGCATCGTGGAGCATCTGGCCTACTATCAACACTCCTCCTTTTCAGCATGGGCGAGTTCGCCTGGGCTGAAACTCGAAACTTGGCCAGTGCTTCCTAGAAGAGAAAAACTCGACGCCATGACGATAAAGCAACAGCTTGTGGACTAGCCTATGGTCTCTTAGCTTCCCCGCTCCGAGAGGAAGTCTTTTTTGGTGGGCCTGCTTCTCCCATCATCTTTGCGTCTTTCTATCACACATCACGCAGCCTGGACTATTCCTTCTGAGCGCGTGGTTGCAAAAGAAAAGGATCACTCCTCGGAGTGAGCGAGTGTGTGCAGCACGTTTGTCATCGACCTGCACGTGTTCTTTCAGTAAAGCCGAAGTTGGCTTTGCGATGTTGCGAGCTTTGCCTTTCCAAGAACTTTTGTAAGTCCATCTGCCTTCAATTCATTGGTGGCTTGATGAGTTATACTTATGTCATTTGCCCATGCCAAATCGCGAATGTAAGCACATCTGATTGAAGTGGCATGTTCGCATCATCTGCTCATGAAATCGCTCTCTCTCTCTCTCTCTCTCTCTCTCTCTCTCTCTCTCTCTCTCTCTCTCTCTCGTTAAAAGCAGAGCTCCAGAATTGTCACCATAACCTCAGATTGGAATTGTCGAGCCGATTAGCTCCTCAATCACAGCATGGAATTTCAGGCCTTCCTGGAAAGCAATTGCCAGAGCCTCCACTTCAGACTCGGTCACTGACCATGCTACAAGTTGTCTCTGTGACTTCCAGAACAAAAGATGGTCTGCCAGAAAGGGCCACCCCACTCCTCGATCGCGCACCGCCTGGTGCTAACGAAGCATCTGAAACAATGCGAAACAACAGTGAGCTATCTCCCTTCTCATCTCCACCCACGGGTTCATCACCAGAACTCTTGTACTTGTATTGGATCACTTTGTCCCAGGTGCTACGAAGGTAGCGCCATGTGCCCTTACACAAGTGTAGGCTCTCGGCCTCGTTGCGATGAGCGTTGACGCAATCCCGAGACAAGCTGCGATGTCCGGCCGGGACCGCAACGCAATCCACATCAAAGTTCCAGCCTCCTTCTGAGCTTCTTTCATGTTGCGCTCGAAGTTGTCATCCCGAATCTCTGGTCCTTCCAGCCTCTGTAGGGACGGGAAGAGAGCCAGAACCCTTCAGGGTTAGCCGGGACACACAACGAATCAACAACAACACCAGCCGATTCTTATACTCTGAGTCCTTAGCCGACACAGGTGATGGAGCTGGCAATTGATTCAAACCTGCAAGACGCTTCTTATGTCTCTCATCTGCCCACTTGAACTGCTGTTTCACGTAGGCGCCGAAAGACTCTGCGAGGGTTCCTGAGATCGTCTCGACTTGTTTCGGCCAAGGTCTCAGTCTCACGCTTTGCTCCCAAGGTTCACCGCCACCCAGCTTGAGCACGGGAACATCTTGAAGCAACTTCCACCTTCCATGATGAATGGGAGGTGTGTAGGTGACCTGGACTTGCTAACCCGGTTCCTTGACCTGGGCGATAGCTCCGGGCCCTGAACTGTGGGCTTATCATGCACGAGACCTGGGGGTGGCTGCGGCTGCGCGTGGTGGGCGCTGTCGTCTTATTTCCAGACTCCACCACTTCTCCTCAGACTCGTCAAGCCCTTGTTCCCCATTCGCCTGACCGGGGACCACTTCATCATCGGTGTGGACGACAAAGTGCTCGCACATTTGGTGTATGGCTGCCACGTCATCACGCAACAACGTATATTGACCTTGAACCAACGTCACTGAACTCCTCAGCCCCACAACATCTTTGGAAAGAACATCCAATCTGTGGTTCTGATGCGCTACAGTAGCTGTCAATCCGACTGAATCATCACCAACATTCCTGGCATTTGCAAACTGCTCCAGGAGTCTAGCCCACTCGGCTGGAACCTCCACATCACGAGAAGCACTAGCCTCCTCTAGCCTGTCCAACCGTGATGTTATTGCAGCATGCTCTGACTGTGCCTTGCCCAGGCCCTTCTCGAGGATACCCTAGATCTGCACGATATGAGCTTGGACTTGGGCCTTCCACTGCAGGGGACCCACGCGCGCCTCGGTAACATCATGCTTCGATTCAGAGATGTGCTCCCGGGTTTCCTCAACTTGATCCCGTAGAGCATTACTTTGGGTAATCAGCTGAGTCAAAACATTCTGATGCGCATCAAGTCCTTGCTGAACTCGATGAACTGCTTCTAGCATCTCATTGTAACCCTCATGCAAAGAAGATGTTGCCTCGCCCAGCAAGTTGGTTCTACGATGAAGTCTACTATCCAACTCAATGATCGCTGCCTTCACATCATCAAGGACAGCTGCATCAGGAGAAGTGGCCGTTACCATGTCCACAAGCTGTGCTGGTAGCTCGATCTTCGTTGCTTGCATCCCTCCAAAAGGCGTTGAAGGTGTTGCGCTGCTGAATGCTAGGTTTTAATGCTGGAGCGGAGCCTCTTGGGCTCATAACCTGTCGGTTATGGCCCGCTGCTGCTGTCTGTAGTGCAACTGCGGTAGCTTGTTGCTCAGGGCTTGCTGTGTCTGTCAAAGGACTATAGTGGTCAGGCAATGCAAACACATGACGTTGGGCCCTCGGGGTTTTATATGATTCATCCTCGTCGTCCATCGTCCGACAGGCCTATCTGTCTCAGACTCCCAAGAACTCCAAACAACCGAACCAAGTGGGGAGGGGCTCACTCAAACCCATGACGGGAGGGCCCACAGGTGCCCTGAAAGAACTGCAGGGTATGGGGCTAAACAGAAACGAGCACGACAACCAGGAGGGGATTAGGGTTAACCCACTGTCCCAGCACTCCACGGCGTGCACAGTCAGCGAGACTGTACTTCTCAGTTTCTGTTCCCTGCTTAACCTGGTCAAATTTCGAGGTTGACCCCCAAGTGCAGAGTCGGCGTGACCTGGAAAAAGAAGCCGAGGTCCAACCTCGAGCTCCCTAAACCCACACCTAAAACCCCGGGCGTTTCCCTTTTCACTCGCTTGAGTTTAACTTGGGCCAAGTAAAACACGAATCCGCACTGAGACACGTTACATGTCGAAGTGGCTTCAAACTGTCACGCAACATCTTCGTGTCTGGTGTGTTAAACCCACTGCCGAGCTCCTAAATTGAATAACCGCAGGGTTCTCATCATGCGCAAAGGAGCATCGTGGAGCATCTGGCCTACTATCAACATGTTCGATGTCTTGCAAGTGAGTTGACTTTGAAACTGTTTTCCGTTTCCCTTCCAAGAGGCGGCAGGAGTAAGCAGCTCACAAGCCAAAACGACCCACCATGGCGGGAGGAGCAGGCACTGCCTGCACAAACTAAGGAGCACACCTCACATGATCTTTGAGCACAGAGGCGGATCCGTGTTGCAGTTGATCCCCCCACACCAGGATCACAGCCGATCTGTTGTGACTGCGAATGCTTTCCATGCAGGAATATCCCATCCCTGAACCCTGTGGCCCCGTTTTCTGAAAGCCATTGTCTGAATGGCGCAAATTTCCTGTATTGCCCCGTTTCCTGAGTTTGGCCTTCGTTTTTCCATCTACGTTACCGAGCACCGACTCGAACTCCTACGCGTATCGCCAGCTCTGGGAGAGCAGCTGGTGGCGCGGTTCTACACTAGGCCGCTTACGCCAGGTGCCCATGTTGACCGTCAGCTACTTCTCCATGAGCTGAGGTCTAGAGGTTTTCATTAGAGATGGTGCCGATATCATACCGACGTACTTGTCGATGTGTCGCTGGAAGCTGGATTCACTATGTTATTCTGAAGACTAATTTCTGCGTTGCAGAATATGGCACACTTTATTGGGCGCCTTTTTTTTTAAGACTCGGACTGCCTGGAGAATCTATACTCCAGGCCTCCATGAGGCGTTGTCTCAAAATCAGGACCCCAAGAAATAGAGCCTTATTGCAAAAAGATCTCCTGATGTGCCCCGCTTGGCCTCCTTGTCATTGTCACGCTTGTATTTCCTAGGCTGACACATGCGATCGGGAGTTTGAGGGTATGCCATTCATTTTGTGATACCATTGCCATTGCGACCATCTCGATCCCAGAGTCTGAAAATATTGGGAAGCCACGACGGTGCCATCCATCAGCTGCTCAGCAGAGCTGGTGCACGATTCTTCGCCTAAGTTCCCACCTGGCAGGGTGGGCAAATCAAACAAGCCAACAGGCGCAGATGCTTCCAACTTTCCGAGCAACCAGCTGGATATGATACGAGTATTAAGTTTTCTTTATTTATATATACGACGCCTACTACTGCGACGACGACGACGACGACTACTATTCCTACTACTCTATTGCTATTTTAATGGTTTTGTCTTTCACTACCTGCAGTACTGCTGCTATGATTAGTGGCATTGTCCCAGAACCCTCATGCACACGGGCCACGCCTGCGGTGCTCAAGCACTGACCCGTTCTAGTCCGGAATCTCCGCCTGCGCGAGAAAGATGTGGCAACATTAGTGAAGGTGTGGCGTGTTGGAAGGTAGCTCCAGCAATGCCGAGCCACTCCACTGGCGCTCCTTCATCGTCTGGCATCACAAAAAAATCGCCGAGACTCGTGTCAGAGCCGCGTTGTTGTAGAAGAGAAATTGAGGTCGCAAACCACCGGTAGAAGAACAGCTCCTGGCAGCGCAAGCCAGGTTGCTTCCACAAGGTTCTTTAGCCTGGCAACAAAGCTCCTGCCAGTTTCGCACGTCCAAGTCTTTATAGTAGCTGTTCACCACCTCCGAAAATGCACGCGGGGTAGCTTAGCATTCTTCACAGCCCATTCACAGCAACCAAAACACATAATGAAAGAATAACAGGATCCCTATTATACAACTCCAAAAGGGGCTGACTCTCCAAAACCCCCATCTACACCCTAGTTTGAGCTGTTCCTCTTGTAGTAACTATCTTTTGGCTGGTTACCAGTAGGGTTTCACAGTTGCTGCTTAGGATCCTTGCAAGGACTTGAGACTAACACGGGGACTGCTACTATAAGGGGGATCATCCCAAGAACAAGTCTTTATCAATGACAATAGCAACAATGAGAATAAACAACAACCGCATTAAACAAGAAAACAAGTTACGAAAACACACAGTCTCTCACCTGGATGTAGGCGATGCACTGGAAGTTGGCAAGGCCTTTCGAGCCGCTCGCGCCAAGCCAGCTTCCGGTGGCCTTTTGATCCGATGATTAGGGTTTAGGGCTTTGGGGTTTAGGGACAATAAACAGAGCCCTAGCTCATAATATAATGTAATATTCAACTCCGACAGTTGATTACTTTACAACACTTTCTTCCTGTGCTCAACAAGTCCCAGCGGCACAGGTAAGTGGGAAGCCAGAGGTAGCGATCTCGTTGGCAAAAGCGGTATACCTGAGGGAGCTTCTGTCATTCGCGTACTACTTTTGACTTAGGGCTTTCGGTCGATGATCATTTCGGAAACTCCTGCACCTCTCACCCCAACAGCTGACCTTCAGCGTCGTACCATGGTCAAAGCGATTCGGCATGAGAGACTTGCTGAGTATGTTGTCAACCCCATCCTGCGATGAGTCCATGTACTTGCACGGTGAACACTCTTCCACTCCTAGGCCGCCAATGTAGAGGAAGTCATCGCACTGTTCGAAGAGATGCTGATCCAAGCAAGGTTCAAGCAAGGACTGCGTCGAGGCAGCGTTGTAGTAAGTGCGCAGCCTCTGGCGACGCTTCGTGGTATGCCAGCAAAGCACCGGATCTGCGATGGCACAGACTCTTTCGGTCTTAGGGAAGGAGTAAAGGGTGCCTGACAAGCCAATCTCGCGCCAGAGATTGCTGCAAGAGCTGAAGAGCCGGCACTGCTTGGCATTCAGAATCTCCCCCGTCAGAAAGTACCTGCACGACTCACTTTGTGAACACTGGCTTTGACATTCCTCTTGGTCCACGGCCTGCAACTCGGTCTCATAAATCACATCTAAGAGAGAATCAAGTTCGCAGGAAAGCTCACCTGTGACAACTTCGAAGGGCGGCGGCCTGAACACATTGTTGCTGCCGGCCGGGATTGCCGAATAGGAATCGCTTGTGACCGGCAAGTTTTGCCCCCACCGAGGTGGAGCGCATTGGCAAGGATGCAGCCAGTAGTCGTTGATCGTCTCTGTAGATGGGTCATCCACCACGAGGGTCTGCACCCCTTCCTCTACAGCTGTAACCCTGTTGTCCGTGAAAGTGAGGTTCGGGGAGTCACAATGTAGCGTCTCCACCTCGAAATATGCCCCAACCCCGCTGGTCGACGACGACATTCTCGCATACCAAGAATACCTGCCATACAAGAAGACAGTCTCGATCAGGTCACCTGGGCTGGTCTCTGGTCTGTGTTGGTTTGAGACCACAGGGCTAGGTGCCCAAGACATTTGGGGAGGCTCCTCAGCATATTATATATAATGCACAGTTCCTCTTCTTCGGGGACCCCCCCACCCCCCACCCAATAAGACCCTAAACCCATCTAAACCCTAAACCTTATGCTGTGCAAGGCGGGAATCCATAAGCAAAGATGCTGCACGCCACCTCTCCTCCGAAGGTCAAAAAGAGAAAGAGAGAGAGAGAGAGAGAGAGAGAGAGAGACACAGAGAGACTCCGAGGCTAGGACAGCACAAGCTCTACCGAGTCAAATGCACAAACGGTCCTCCGAAAGCCATGTAGGTCGCAGAGGCGTTTTGGTAGTCGCCTGGCAAGAACTGCAGGAAGCTAAACCCTAAACCGAAGCTAAGCAGACACAGGGCTGTTGGGGTGACACTCGTAATGGGAGAAGGGCTCTGGTGCTGCCTTGATTCGGACGCAATCTGATCTAAAACCTGTAGTCATTGGTATGATTATTCTTAGTACTCGTATTGGTGCACTGCTGCAGTGTTGCGTATTGTATATAAGCCCGAAACCTTTAACTTTATACCCTCGCCTGGCCCCGGTCGCTGAAGATACCAATAATCATCTTCTCCTTGCTTTGATACGACACGCGGGTTTAAGGTGTCGGGCCTGGGTTTAGGGTGATGAAAGTCATTCCCGTACATGTCTTCAGTGGTTTCGTTTAGGCCAGGACACTTTAGCCTTGAGCATGCTTTGACAATTGTATCTTGTAGCAGTGCCGTAGCCGAATCATTGCACAAATCACCAACAATACCGCAGACTTCAGGTGCTGCTGCTAGTAAAAAGAGTCTCTCTGTCTCCTATTGTGCGAGTGAGCCATGCAGGGAAGTGTCGGTACTGGGGATATGGCGTCTACTCCTCTGGTTCCTTCGTCACAACTGGTGACTATGCGCTACAACCCTTGCAACATTCTTGCAACTCAAACTTCCCCTAACTCCTCGACGGTGGAGCCACAAGGTCTCGTAGCTTGTGACGCCTTCCTTCAGGAAGACCATACCGCCTCACAAGTAAAGAATGGGCCTGAGACCCATGGAAAAAAAGCATGGAATCTTAGTCGGGAAACCTAAGTGCGATGGAGCATTCTCGTGACTCATAACCGCTCCAAGAGTGGCACTGCAACAGACGACGACTCCTTCTACTACTAGCACCACCAGAAATAAACTGGGCTTAGCCCGAACCGGCTCGACCCTGAAGAGCATTGGAACAATTGTACAATTCTCAATTCCAAGAGCACTTCAACACCCCAAAAGAGGAAGCTCCACACGAGTGCGAGCGCGCGACTTCCAAAATGCGAAGACTCTTCACGCGAGGGCACGAGTCCAATATAGTCAAATCGAGGACACTCCACGCGGATGCTCCATGCAAGAGAGCGATTGCGGCGAGCACGCGTACGGAACTGCGGCGGCGAAAGCACGATCGCAACCCCAAATTTGGAGGTGCGGGGGTCGCTCCCAGCGACCCCCAGAGGATGCTCTGGACGGGAGACTTCGAGCCAACATGTTCGCCAAGCGGAAGTGTTGGGAAGCCGGGGGCGCGTCGCGCACGCTGCCTCAACCTAAACCTTAAAGCCTTAAACCCTGAATGCAAGAACCCCATCGTGTCAGCACACTAGTAAAAAAGGAGAGAGGGGGGTGGGCTTGGGTTTCGTTTTCGGACTCGGGGCTTTGGGGTTTCTCCGGAACACTTTCCCGACTCGCCATAAACATCCCAAAACCCCTCGACCATGCAGAGTGCCTTCAAAGCGATTCTCCCCAAAGTAGCAGTAGCGCCCATGCACGTAGTTTGGTAGTCCGCCAGTCAGCTGGATGCAGGTCTTCCTCTCCGAGCAATCCGAAACCCGGGCATAAGGCGTGTCGAATGGCTCCTCAGTCAGTGCACGTGGCTGCATGTGTGCAGATTGTCAGAACCAAGGCCAGCACAGAGCACATCGCTGATGCGAGCCATGATCTAGGTAGGTGTGAGCGAAGATGGTAGCTACTGTATGATGACCTTGAGGCCTGTTTATGTAGGATCTTGACGTACTATGTGATGTAGGTGGTCCTCCCATCTTGTCTTCCCCGTCATGGCCGTTGTCTTTTTTTGCGTATTTTCGCAATTTTCAAGTCGGCGGGTGGTGCCTCTAGTGCCTCCAGATTCTGGCGATGCATGTTATTCTTGATGCTAAGTATTATATAATCCTTTAGCGAGTGTATATTACAGAAAGGATGTGTCGTATCTGTCGTTTCAGAATGTATACGACACAGAACGGTCCATGCCGCTTAGGCCTACAGTGTGCCGAGCAGCTTGGCAATCGGGGCTATCATTGACGGTACCGGCACAGCGTGCTGTCCACTTTCTGCAGCCCCGAGCAAAGCTATAGGAATAGTAAGCACAGGTATTGTCACTCCGGCACGCCCACCGGCACGAGGACTCACCAGTAGTGGAAGTAGACAGCTGTGTGTAGCTGGCAAACTTGGGCTTGGGGTCGGCTTGAGGCCAGCAAGTGTCGTCCTGCACTGTCATTTGAATTACCGTCTGCATGAATGGTCCGGTCCCAAATGGGGGGAACTGGTAGAGGGCAAAGATCTGGCAGCTGAAAGTCAGCTCCCCTCTAGTGGATGTTGGGGGAAAGGTACTTGCTAGCCCTTCTTCAGGTGCTAGCCGTATATAGCCAGTCGTCAAGTCCATGTCAAAGACGTGATAGCCCTTGTAAGTTGCCTGGCCCGTGACGACATCCAAAGTAAGGTCGCCAGTGCACTTTCCCGTGTAGGCTGAAGGCTGCGGCCGTCGTGATATCTCTGTGGGCTGTGTGGGCCTGGCTGTGGGAGCGGTCTGTCCGATGGTTGCCGAGAAGCTGGCTACATAGGACAAGGACGTCCATACTTCCGGCTTCACTGCCACGAACCGGGAGCGCACAGGTTCCAAGGTGCCTAAGCTTGGAACTGCGCGAGCACTACAAATACCGCCGTGACTGGTTCCAAGTGTCCCCAGATCGGAAACTCCACCACGTTGGCGCCGGTCCCAGGTAAGAGTTCCGTCTGAAGCCAGCTGCACCGATGAGGTTGCGTCTGAAGGATTACACTGAAGCATATCAAATGTCCAGTTGAGGCCGGTTGCCTGCTGGACTGCGGGTGCATAGGACGTGACAGTGACAGGGTCGTCGAAAACTTCGAAAGCCAACCTCAGCAACCAAAACTTATTAGGGAGGCCCACTGAGGCCAAACTGAAGCTCCCATCTGCCAAGTTGCGGGTAGGCTCCGTAGGAGACGCCCTTGTCTACTTGAACTGTAAGCGTCGCCGAAGCGCTGAGATCGGGTGTTTGCTCGGCTGTGATGGTGCAGGTCACCGTGAAGCCCTGCAGCAAAATACAAGCACCCTACACGGCTACACAGGCTACACATGTAACACAGCTATGCAAAGATTCCGTGTTCCCCTCTCCTCGGTCTTGTTGCGGCCCACGGCTTCGTACTGTACAACTTCCAAGCGACCAGTCTCCTTGGACTCTCAGACGATTGGAAGATTCTTTAACGGCAAGACAACCTCAGGGTTTAGGAATCTAGGAATAGGCATTTCGGGTAGTGCCGGGTAGTGCGCACCAGGGAAGGCACGGCTTCGGGTTTAAGGAGGTTGTGGGCCTCAAAAGGGAAGCAACCATGTTCTTCTTAGAGCTTATAAGCTTATGTCAGTGTTTAAGACTTTAAGAGGTTGTCGTCACCAGGGCCAAAGTCGATTGTTAGGTGGCTTCATATTTCCTAGCTAGATGTATTTCGGGCTCCAGCTTAGGGTTTCTTTGTCTTCGGTGCCCCTTATGCTAAAAAACCCTGGCCCCAATCCCCCCGCCCCTTTTCCCCGAATTAACGAGGGGATTCGGAGCCTGAAAACATGAAGGCCTAAACCGCCTAAACCCCACGACCTTAAGGAACAGATCCCCGTGACCAACAACCCTTTGGCCCGCACCAGAGTTTCAACATTAGGGGGGTGGGGGGATGGGGGGGGTGGGGGGTGGGTGGGGCATTTCATATTGGGTTCATATTGGGGGGAAGGGATTCCAAATCTCAGAAATACACAGATCACAAGGAAACACCACAACATCATTGGTCAATGGCTTCATATTAGGATGCCGCAATGCTTTGTTACAAACTCATGGTTCCGTAAAAAGAGCCGTTTCTGTGCGAAGTAACGATGAAGTCCGTCACACAAATCATAAGAATCCTGGTGTTGGGATGGCTGTTTCAACAAAATGAAAACAATGGAAGGTGCAATTTCCCTAAGACGTGCTTGCCTTTGGTCCTAGAGCGAGAGCGAGTGACGAGCCTGATTCTCAACACTAAGCAACCCCAAGACGCCCGAAATTCCCTAAACTATTCAACGCCCTGTCTTGAAACCTTGGTTGCCGCTTGATTCGTAGGAAAAGAAATCTCTGCACGGTGCCTTCCAAACAGCCGAGAGTCGGCATCGATGGTCATCCCATGTTCCAAGAGCTCGCAATCCTTGTTGATTGCGTACTGGGTGGCTGTTCGAGGCACAGGAAAGCCGACAATAGTCGTGGCCCCCAGCACGACTGGGGCGACGTAGTACGTGAATTGTGTGGCTTCCTGAGGTCTGAGAAGCATTGTCTTGGTCATCGACAAGGCTACAAGCGGCTACAAACCCCTTCTCAGAGTCTCTGCTAAACCCCATCCCTAAACCAAAGCTTAACCCCGCTGTAGACACAGGCGTCCTTCTGCCCACCTCCGCACTTGCAGCAGGCTTCATTCGATGAGAGGCCTTCGAACTCAGTGCTGTTGCAAGACGTCGCGGAGTCGTAGCAATTCGCTCCAGCCACGGTGGTCCAGCCAGGCGTATCTACACAAGCCTCACACGTTCCAATGTCTGTGGATGTGTAACCTCCGGCGCAGGATGCGCACGCGTTTCCGGAAAGCCCCGCACATCCTGACAGCACAGTCAGGATTCTACAGCACAAAGAGGGATGGGCCCCGAGAACTTAGAACCCTGTCCTGCGCAGAGCAGGGAGTCTTCGGGGCAACAGAAAATTTCCCCGTCAGAAAACCAGGTCGGGCCCACCATGAAGATGGGGTACGTGGATCCCGGACAAGATGACAGTTTGGAACTCGTGTTCGCTGTCGACTGGACCATTGACCTCGGCCGACCACAGTTCTCGAACAAGTCCTGCAAGGTCGCAGAGTCGCAGAGTCTTTACAGAGCCTGAGAAGAGAGAATGAAATAGAATGAAATAACGTAGGATTCTGCTTTTTTACATGTCCATTTGTACAAGGAGAGGCTCGCATCACTTCCCGACTTTTGCCGCGCCTGGTGTCCACTGCGGTGGCTAGACGGAAGGTCTCCTTTTTGCCGCGGGCCGGCCTTGCAGCATATCACCCAACACCTTGCTATGTTACCGCATCTTGGAACTGTCCTGTAGTAAGTTATAGCACGTGATGTTTCTGTATTTTCTTCGGGCACATTTCTTCAAGATCCAGTTCGGAAACTGGGGCCTGTACGACTTTACTAACGCGTAACGCGTAAGGGACATGTGCACAGACTACTCAAACCTGGCGTGGAACTGCAAGGGTGCTTGCATGTGCTTGCATTGCACGGTGTCCGGAGGACGGAGCAGCATGTTGACGCGTGCGTGGTCTACAACGTGTTGGCGCAAGCAGTGTAGGACATTGTAGGACCGTCTTCGCACGGGCACTTGGACATGCTCACCAAAAACCAGAGAGAGTGCACGCTCTCCTCTACGCGGAAGTTCAGAAGCAGATGGCAATAAAAAGCGAGAGCAGAAGTCGCCGTTAAGTCGCCCTGCCGATCCATGTTTGCGAGTCAATAGCGAGGCTCCCAGAATCATTCTTCGATAGGCGTATGACATTCTGATGGCGTACATGTTGGACACAATGACACATTCACGAAAGACAAAGGTGTGCACATGAAGGTCAAGCCAACCACGGCCAGTCAACCCAACACATCGAACAGCAGGGGGCACAGCGGCACAGCATTTTCTCAAGCACATCAGACATCTCGAACCCCGAACCCCATCACAACATCCGACAAGAATTGTAACTTGTGCGAACATCGTTGCAAAGAACTGAATACGGGCTGGTCTTTGCTGTGGGGTGTAGGACAGTGTGGGACGTGTAGGATCTTATGTCTCCCAGCGCCATGCCCAAGGGGCTGGAAGCCTTGTGGATCGAAGCCACCCTAGATCCAAGCAGCCAAACAGCAAACACATAGCCAGCATGGTGAAAGCATGGTGAAAGCAGAGAGCTTGGGGCATGTGGCCAGACACGGCACAGCCCCCGTAGTCGACTTGTGACAAGAGCCTCTGCTTATGGTCGCCCATTGCCACCAACGTGCTTCTACAGTCTTTGCGTCCGCCCTGTTCGCGGAATGCGCGCTTACGCACAGCACGAACGGAACTACAGAGTCGAAGATAAGCTCTGACAGCTTGGGCAAAGCATGGCAACGACATTTCGGCCTGCAGGATCTCTTTCATCTCCGCTCTCAGATCCGTGACGAGCTCGGCTTTCATCTCCGCTCTCAGATCTCTGATGAGCTCGGACTTTTGCTGTTGAAATAGCTGCGTCATCGACTCCTCAACAACAGCTCTTGCATACTTTGGACCCAAACCGAGGAGTGCTTTCAAGTTAAAGGTTGCTTTTCAAGAGTCCCATCTAACAATTCACTCCTCAGAGGTCTGATGCTCCAGGAGACCTTCTCTCTGACGACGTGGATGGTGCTGCAACAATGTCATCGGATCTGAGTGGTTGCATGTTTCGTCTGCAAGGCAGACCAATGCAAGCCAAAGCCAGACCACGCCACTGCCGCGCGCCATGCCGCCTGACAGTGCACGGTCCAAGTCTTCTCAAGAGCCCGTGTGTTTAAGACTCCTTGCTTGCTGACCAAAAAAGACAGCCCTTGGAACACACGAATATTTCCGAGAAGCAACAAGAGGTCGGGTCGGCACCACGTTGGGATGCTAACAGACTGATGACCAGGCTTCTACTGCAGGTCTTCGGGCAAAACGGCTCTCGGCTAAACTCTCTGTGTGAACAGTCCGACTCCGATGAAATTCTGATATAGCCCGGATAAAGGCTGAAGCACAACATGGAGCAGGTGGGACGTTGTTTGTTGTCCTCTCCTGTGCAGACTGCTGGGGATGCGGTGTCGCAAAGCAGACGGATGAGGCCGAGGCTCCAGGCTGGGACCCACCGGACCAACCGCTGCCTCGGGCAGTTGGCACGTAAAGCTTCAACCCTCCGATCCCCTTCCCCGCTAGACCAGGGGAACTTGAATGAAAGGAGCTCGCTTGGAGAAGACTGGCGCTTGGCAAAATTTGGCAAATAACAAATCAAGCCTGAATTATGAAGAAGGCGATCATCATCGAAGCGGCAAATCCCCGTACGCACGAAACTCGCAATGGCCAGGAAAAATCGCCGTAAAGGCCCGCAGCTTCTTGTAGGAAGAGCAAGGAGCCATGAGTCCAACCAAATCCCTACAGGCCCTAGATATAGGGATTTAGAGGGCCCCAGGAAGACAGCACCTCCTCGACAACTTAGCCGAAACGGGGTTCGTGGACCGGTTCTGGAGAACATTTGTTTACTGTTTTACCAGTGTGTACGTTGCCAAACGATTCCCAGACTGAGGCTCCCAAACCCTGCATGGTCTGATCAAGGCCCAGCAATGTCCGGTGGAAAAACAAGCAGCAGGCAATGTCAACCACAAACCTGAAGGCTGGAAAGACCGGAAGCAAGGCAAACCAGCTGCTGATGACAGTCCGCAATAAGTGTACTGATAACAATATATTGATGGTCGATTAGTTGAACCATGAACACAATGTCAAAATCAGGTTTGCATAAAGCAGAACAGTGACTTGGAAAACCCTCGCTGCCATTTGAGAACTCCCAACAGCCCGGCTGCAAAGTTTTGCCTTGATGCCTACGGGGTCACCTCTCACCTCAGACTAAAACCTTCACCCTAAACCCTGCAAGACCTAGGCCTAACAGAGGAGGTGCATGAGGACAGGTATGTCGTTCTGGTATAGATTGTAGTGTATCGTGCAGCCTCACTTGCAGATACACTCGCACTTGTTTTGCTCTTACTCGCACGAAGTGCTTCTTCACGTAGGGGACGACCCGTGGCTTCGTAAAGTGACGGAAGTATGTACGTTTGCTCTCTCTATACCATCACCGTGGTCATAAGCGTATAGCTTAGTGACCTTGAGCCACGGGTCGGCGGCATTTCATTTTTGGAAATTGTATAGGGAATCGCCTTACCTTATGTACATGTTGTACTGCAGTAGTGCCTCTCATGGAGGACACATACCGCTTCTATACATACACATACATCAGTACCCGAATCTGTGCTGTGGCTCGGGTTCTGCTGACACCCCCCACGCATGCCAGCTCATGATCTTTAAACATCGGCTGATATGCGCATACAATGGGTATGGATGTCGTAGTCAAAAGTCCAGAAATACAGCTACAAACACTGCCGCACTCCTCGTATATCGTGATCATGCTTCGCGAATTAAAGCGTTCCACTATGACTTCTTGCCTTTGTGTCATCTCATCGCACACGGATTCAAAATTGGATTGGGTTCAACCCGTGGAAAATAGAGATAACTGCTGTTGATGTACGGTCTGCTACTTACGCCCCTCACAAGGTTCAGTCGTGCTGGTATCAAGTGTACGGCTCAGTAGAGGAAGACGACCACATCTCCAGTTGCAGTAGGCGAAGTCGCACTTGTCGTGGAACCTCACTTCATACCACCACCCTTGCCTCCTTTGAATCCTTTGGCAACCGACTTGCTGACCGGTCCTGGTCCTGCAGCTGATGGTGTTGCCGATGGCTTAGCCGTTGGCATACTCTTGGATTAAATGGGTAGGGCCTCGTCTGTTCTTGGTGTAGACGGGGTTGAGCTTGAAGGTTGAATAGGAGGAACAATCGACAACATGGGATCCGCCAAATATTCAATGGGCGATATGTCCAAATGATCCTTCCGTCCGCGGTGCTGGATGAATCCCTGTACTTTCCGTTCACAGTAATAATAATAATAATAAGGAACATCATAGCCGAAATCCTTGACCGTCACGTGCAGCTCGATGTTGATGTCCTTGTGTGGAACAGAATTGACCAACGTTCGTGGGTCAATGCGCAAGAACTCTGGGCGGCCGTCGACGATCCTCTTTAAGGGCTCGTCGACATGTTCGGCTTTCCTGAAGTACAAGTAGTACTTCACGCCCAGCACGCGGTACAGAATCTCGCTAACCAACTGATGACTTCGGATTCTGATGTCCTCGTATCCTTGCCTGCAATTTTCATCCTTGCCCATGGTGGAGATGATGGCTTTGTCGTCTTCAGTGAGCTCGAATCGATCAGGGGTGATGCCAAGCGCGATGCATCCCCTGACGATCTTGCATTGCATCTGCCACCAGCGGAACTTCCAGATGCTGAACACTTCGACTCCAGGCTTGAACGGGTCACGGAATGCATTGGCAATCTCGTCATCCGTGAGGTCACGCGGCAAAGCGGTGTTCTCATCGATTTCAACCTCAGGCCAGTGACCTAGGGCGTCATGACGGATAACTCGTTCCTGGTTGACTTCGTGCCGCGCAATGACAACATGGTGTTGATGATCTTCATCGCGTTGTTCCACCCTGCGCGAATGCACCCTCTAAGCCATGAATCAATCCATGTACACAGCGGCATTGTTGCTGAAGTCAAGGTTAATCACCTCCGGCATTGGGCCTTGGACCACATTCACCTCCATGGCTGCTTGCGAACCTTCACGCAGTAAAACTCCTTCCAGATTGGGAGGAATCAGATTGGGAGGAATGGCTGTACCTTCGTCGATCTGCTCTTCCTCATCCATGCGTTCGAAGAAGTCCGCAATGTTGTCTTCGTTCTCTGGCTCGCCGACGCTCCGCATCTCCACGTCACCTGTGGTTGTAGCATCCGCATCGGTCAGTCCCTCATGGGGCACCTCCCGTGCTTCTGCGATGTGCACCTCGACATCAGCATCCGGCGTCTCCGAGATGTCTTGGGTGTCCTGCTCGGCAACGCGGGTTGCCTCTTCGAGCGTTTCGGGCGACACGGTCTCGTCGACGGGCTCGGGCGCAATGGTGATCTGCTCACGA